TAACATCAAGACAAAAGATTGGTGTCCCTGGAATCCAAATAATGAAGTACTTTCAGACAGCCATCAAAGCAAATTGTTAACTTGCATTTAACTGTCATTCGGAGGCTATCTCATTAGCAAGAGTGTCCTCAGATTATTTTATTTTATGTTTTTTTTGTGTGATTTAAAAAAAAAAAAAAAATGAAAATAAGCTGTTTTTTTCAAACTACCAAGACAGTTAAGCTGTTTATTCAGAAAAACAGAGCAGATTGTTTTATCTTCACAAGTGAATGCAGTACACTTCTGTTAAGAAAGAAAGGTCTCACAGGTCTCACTTTGTAGATAAAAGCGACCTTCGGGTAAACAGGGATGTTTCAATAGCTTTGTCCCGGTTTTGTCATGGGCTCATTTGTAGCTTGCTGAAAGGTAAGAGTGAGTCTGATGTTTTTCATTCAAATGTAGCCACACTGCACATATTGCATTGGTATCCAAGCTAGACCATAAACCGGATAATCAGAATACTATCACACTGATATGCCAACTTTGAGGAAATGGCAGCATAGCTTAGACTGGTTTGTGAAAGTCTTTTCAATAATTGCACAACTTGTATCTCAACCCATTACATCAACTGTAGATCTCATGATATCTTGAGGTTTGAAAACACATGTTTTACATAAAAAATTAAGCTTATTCAGCGTTGTACATAGCAGGTCTGAAGGTCATCTGGGTGTTAATAGTACTGGTTATATATCAGTGATGTGCAAATGTTCTGCCTACATTCAGTATTGTGGCAGAAGCCCTGTAGTGATCATATTTTCGTTTCTATAAGCAGACAGTTGGTTAAGGTCAAGCAGTCATGATGATGAATGATGACAATGTAATGAGTCCCCTGTCGGCTCTTACTCACCTACAGTACTAAGAACAATTCTTATGACATGTTCCAAAACAAAACAAAAAACCGCACATGCACAAACACTGACATTATGTGCATCACAGTTGGTCTTCTCCTTCTGTCAAGCTGAGCAGTTCATCTTTGGTACATTGAACACAGTGCAGTGTGCAGAGAATAACTCGGCATGAAATGTTCCCTGGTGACTGACCTGAACCCCCTAAAAACTTGTCTAGGCTTGGAGATAGCCTTCAGCACAACCACATAAACCAAGACTAAAAAAATACAGTGTTTGAGCTCTGAATTTCACAAATATCTCACATCACAGCAAACAAAGCATCGAGCATTTATTGAACATAATACCCCACTGGGCAATTTAAGTCCAAAGGGCCAAGAGGCATAAGAGATCAGCAGGACTGTTTCCAGAATTAAAAAAATCTATATACTCAAACAAACAGACTGGCAACAAACACAAGGAAAACTGTTCTATAGACCAACTCACTTTAAACACCTAGTTTTGTGCTTTTCCCAGTGAAAGAGGCCAACACATGGTTGGTTAGTTATTTACAAATGTTACTTCTGCCACTTGGATCAGCCTCTCACGGGGTTGAGTAACAAATGCAAACTAAACTGAATCTATTGGAGAAAAAAACCCCAACAAACATCAATTAAAAAAAGTCTACATAATTGCTTCCTGGAAAAGTGATTACACAACTTTTCTCAAAACGCAAAGTTATTCAAGCCCATCCTGTAGGGGTAAGTTGAACCAAATCTGATTGAATACTGAAAACCAGCACACCCTAATTGTGCAGGAAATCTGCTTGAACGTGATCAACGATGTTCAAGGTCGAAGTCTGGCTGTGGGTTTGTAAACTTTGTTGCACGATGGAAACTCTGTTCTTCCTACCCTTACCTTAGAGATTGTTTGAAACTTTTGAGTGAGGAAATGATGGATGAAAACTACTACGATTCTAATCTAGTTCCTTCAATCTAGTCTATTAATATTGCTCCTAATGTTGCCCAAAAGATGTTTCCTTCCGAGGGATGGGTACTTACCAGACAGCTAGCAGCTTCGAGGTCATGCATTTGTGTAACCTCCCTTCCCCCAGGATGCAAAAACACTCAGTGCCACAGCTCTAATAAGACTGTGATTTATAGAGTCAACCGGGCGTCTCAGTATGGGGTAGGGATGCAACTAGTGAGAAATATTGGAGTTTTCATATCAGTGCCCTTGAATGCCCTTTCAAAGCTGCACAGTATGAATTCAGCACCATGGACAGCGACACAACACAGCAGGGGAAACAGCCACCTGTTCTTTTGCTGTAAGATTTTCTGTACATTCAGGTGAACTAGAAAATACGCTCAAGTCCATTTAACATTTGCCATTTAACTCATTTTGGCCACCTTAGACCTATGGGAAGTCCCCTGTGACCTTGCATGTCTTGTGTTATTTCCCTACTTTGTGTTTACAAGGCATAGGGAGACATGAAGACAGCCAGACAACAAAAATTGAGACCATAAGGAAGAATGCTGCTGCGGGAGGGTTATTTAAATCAATGGGTGACCCTGCCCACGGTGTGTTTTCTGCGTCCTGTTGAGACAGACAATGCACACCCAACCATGGCCCCCGTTCGTGTCTGATATATGGAAGCGCTTGTGACTTTGGGTGGCGTCCTGTCTGCTCGCTTCACTGTCACCCTCTGTGAACGCTGCTGGAGAGGGTTGCCATCGGTTGCTCCCTCCTTCTTTCCTCTGCTCCTCCCTCCCTCTGTTACTCATCCGACTCACATTCTTCTCCTTTTTTTTTTTTTTATCCATTTCCCTTCTTTCTTCCTTTAATTACTTACCTGTCCCGAACCTTTCGTTTTACTTTTTCTTCTTGTTTTGCTGTTTTCTAACCTGTCATCTTCCTCGCTGACCTCCTGCCTTCAAATCTGCCGGTCGGAGTTCTTCCCTTTCCTGTCCAGGCAGGATCTCTGGTTGGAGACCGTGATAGGAGTGTAAGGTTGAATGCAGGGGCAGAGAGGGAGGGAGTGGGCCACGGGAGGTCGAGGAGTGTGAGGGGAGGTGCTTGCTGGCGGGGCCTGAGACCTGAACCAGACAGAAAGTGAAACGTCACACCAAACCCAGACTCTCTGACTGGGATCACATTTTTGCGCGTGTGTGCGAGTGTGTTTGTGTGTGTGACTGGGGGTTCACAGTGTTAGTAGCTCAGAGCCAGCTGAGGCTGCAGTGGAGACAGACAGGGACAGAGGCACTGAGCAGTACACAGCAAACACCACTGAATGTTGAGTTTTATGGGACTGGGATATCTGCTGTTGGAAGGAAAATTGCCAGGTGAGAATGCGTGTGCATGTGCAGGGTGTTGCGATTATTTTATGGGTGACAGGTTCAATTATATAAAAGTGTCACAATTTTGTGAACGCCTTTGTGTGAGTAATGTGTGAGTGTGTGGGGATATGTGTTCAGCGCGGTCTGCTCCTTATTAGCATCATGTTATTGTATAACAGTTGTACAGTGGCACGTCATCCGTGAGGAGGGGGGGATTAATGTTCAATGTTCCATGTTTTCACTGTAGGTTGTAAGCTGACCACAGGGGGACAGACTTCAGCGTCGCGCCCGGAGCCGCAAGGAGAGGTGTGGCCAAAATCACTTGACCAGAAGCAGGCCCTAGCTACGGACTTCTTATCAGGTACAAAGGTCAAGACTGCTGGTCAAAAAAATGTATTTATTTGACCAAGGGAAATTAAAAAGTTGAGAAATTTAGAAAATGCTTTAAGTTCCTTTGTCTTATCAAGTCATTTAGTTTTATAATCAAACAAAGAAGTAGATTTATAACATTTGCTGTCAGAATAGCTCTATAACTTAGCTTACAGCATCTTGAAGATGAAGATCTTTTTTCATTAAGTGTGAATAAATGGATTTGACTTCGGATGACCTCTAGACTTCTGAACAGTTATTAAAAGAAGCAGGTTTTGAACAGACCACGGTCAGACTTCCCTTGTGTTTGGACTTTGCTTGAAAAAACTAGGACTTGCAACCAGCCTTTGACAAATGACTATTTGGTAACACGTGAATTTTATTAGTCCTAGGATTCACATAGTCAAGCCTCAGTCATCAGATTTTGCCTAAAATCGACTGACAGTCGAAAGTTTTGTTGCCGTTTTTTTTTTCTGGGCATTGAGCCACATTGTCATTTGAGTTTAATCACATTGTTAAACCATTTGTCTTCTAGACTTGGAATACCATTTTATTCTATGATAGGACATTGTTTTTCTCACTCATTGAGTCTGCATTAATTTGACCCTATAACCAAAACAGCAGGCACACACTGACGGTCCAGTGTGTGGGGATCAGACCAGTGACAAACAAACAGCGTTTGAAGATTTACTGAATTTTTCGTGATCATAGAAATCCACCAAACTGAGTCCCTGCGACTTAAATCCAGTGAAACTTGACCTTTTGATGACACTTAATAACAGCCTATAACAGCCAATGAGAGCCTGTGTTGAACTTAGTATATGGGGTCACCCCTAGATTTTATAAGCATGACTTGAAGTGATGAAAGGTTACGGTACAAAAAAAAGGCAGCCAATCATGTTTAAGTAGCAAAAGCTTAAGCGATAATTTGGTGTGCACATGAGCAGACATACGCAAATGCATGAATTAGGATGTGCAACACAAGTTTAGAATGAACAACACAAAGTTTAGATGAACACACAAAGTTTAGATGAACACCACAAAGTTTAGGATGACAACACAAAGTTTAGGATGAACACCACAAAGTTTAGGATGAACACACAAAGTTTAGGATGACAACACAAAGTTTAGGATGAACACACAAAGTTTAGGATGAACACCACAAAGTTTAGGATGAACACACAAAGTTTAGGATGACACACAAAGTTTAGGAATGAACAACACAAAGTTTAGGATGAACACCACAAAGTTTAGGATGAACACCACAAAGTTTAGGATGACCAACACAAAGTTTAGGATGAACACCACAAAGTTTAGGATGTACAACACAAAGTTTAGGATGTGCACTTCCAGTACAACTTGACATGGGACTTAGTAGTAAGTAGAGAAACACGTAGACAGTATTCACAGGTAAAAGTTCTGAATCCAAATCCATAAAAAGAACAGCAAATTTTATGATTAGTATTATAATACTTTAATTGTGTGGATTAAACCCGAGTTGTACTTGGTACATTGCTGGCATGTCTATGCTAACATGTAGAAACATTAAATGAAATGCCTTCTCTCTTTTCTCTCCTTCCACCTCACTCATTTTATATTTTTAATGTCGTCATTTCCAACCATTACCTCTACCTACAACTACCAATCCATCTCTTACTTCCATTTTTTTTTTTTTCGCGTTTGACTTTATCATCCATCTTTGCTCATTCCGCTCTCTCAACTTCTTCATCCTTTCCACTTTTTCCCCACTTCTTTTTATTTTTCACATTGTCCTTCATCTTGCCAGCCTCCATGGCAAGTTATTCAGATCCTCTGGGCTCTCAGACCAGCCCTGCCCCAATGATGGACACTGGCCGGATGGGAGCTTTTTCAGGTAAAGTCCCAATACTTGATGGGATTTAGACACAGCAACACAGCATTAGTATGATAAAGGTAGCGTAAAATACAAGGGCAGTTTCTTTCGTAGTGAACATTTACTGCATTAAATTGGCAAGCACTTCCCAAACCTGAGATTCAAATGAAATTTAACATTATTTAAGGATTAATGTCATAAATGTATCAATATTTGGCTATTTGGGCTTTCATCTTCATTTTTCACTTAAGACTTAATGCGATCAATAGCATTAGCTAAAAATGCTGACTCATGATAAAAGATTTCTGTTAATCTTTTTTTTTTTTTTTTTTACTGAGCTGGCAAGGCAAAAAAAAAATCCACCAACAAGTGCCATTACAGAAACAAGTGAAGCAGTAAGTAAACTATAGAGTTTACTCTGTTTCCCATCTTATTCCTGTGATCAGGAACTCAATCTTTCTTTTTTTCTTTCTTTCTTTCTTTCTTTCTTTCTTTCTCTTATGCTTGGGTCAGAGTCAGGGGTGGAATGTAGCAAAAGGAGAATTGCTGTTTTACACTGAGAACAACGAGAACATCAATGATATCACTCATTTCCATGTCTGGCAATCTGAAGTGAATGTTAATGAATTATTTTGAAATAGCGGAGAGTTGAATAATTAGTGAATGCATTATTAAACAACACTACTTACTCGGGAAAGCGTCTGTAACCAATCAGAATCATGCATTTTTTTTTTTGGCTACCCCAACTGGGCCTTCATCAAGACACACAACACCAACAGGGAAATAGAGAACAACTTAAGGTCACAGCACTGTGATTCCATATTTGTCTGGCGTTGGAGAATATTTCAAAAACACAACATTTTGGTGAACTTCAAACCATCCAATACTATGAGACAGAAGCTCGTTCACCCCAAGGACAAAACCCCCCCGGCTGTAAAACTAATCAATGCTGTTTATGCAAAAAAAAAATGCAATGAGGAATGCAAGGACTTGTAAATTGGAGAGACCGCTGGTTTAAAAGAAGTGTTAAAGAAGCCATCTGTGTTAAGGTGAAACAACCCTCCCTGAACAGAGGTGGTGGCCTGACCGCCTGTCATTGCTTTTTTGAGTTCTCTGTCTAACCAGCTTCATGTTGCGTTCCATTTGACTAGGAAGTCGTAGCTGGGAATGACGTCACACCCAGTTGACCTTGTTTGAGTAACGAGTTGGCAACCAGTCAGAAAATAACTTAAGGAGTGCCGTTGCTGTATTAGCTAACAGCAGGCAATAACAACACACTACATGGCAGCTTGCGCGCAAAAGCGACATGACTTGCACTCGGTGCGATTGATTTGATTACACACTAATAATGAACACTATAATCTACCGCTGAAGCTTTGATGTTGATGCGTGTAGCAGCCATGTTTGATTTTGAGCCTGGGATACTGAAGTTCCTCCCAAGTTTCTGGGTCAGAGTTCTGACTTCAAGGGGCCTTACTGATGACGAATCCGACGGCAACTCCGACTTCAGGGATCAAAATAGAATGTACCTAAAGCCTGATTCAAACCCTAGACCATGTGACCCTAACGGCCCTTGGATGACTGAGAATGTTACCAACCCCAGGTAAAACTAAGTCATCATTGACATGACAATGGTTTACACAGACTTATATTTTTGCTCTGTCCCGCAGCAACATGTCCGATGTGTTCTTGGGCAAGACACTTAACCCCGAATTGCTCCGGCTGCTTCGTCTGTGGCGTATGAATGTGTGTGAATGGATTAGTTAATACTGATGGACACTTAACACAGAAACCTCTGCCGTCTTGATTTGTAAAAAGCAATTTGAGTAGTCAGAAGACTAGAAAAGGGCTTTACAAGTTCAAGTCCATTTACCATTTACCATTTTAAATATACAGTTAAAAAAAAAGAACTTTCAATAAACAAGTTCTCTTTGCCTGGGAGATTTTCTTCCCAATTAAAATGTAACCTGAGTGCAGCATTTAGTCCGCAATCTTTGCTCCTAAATTCCTTCCTAGATAAATGGCTTGTGGTGAGGCCAAGCTTGTTAGCAGCATGCAGGGCTGAAGCTGTCAGTGCTGGTACTCCAGGAGGTGACACACACTCACACACACACACTCACACACACACAGAGAGAGTCAGAGTTATGAGGCTGAGTTATGTCTTTCACCATGCCAACCTCTGCATACCCGGCTTTCACTGTTGTCTTAATGAGAGCTGTCGTCTCTGGGCCACCGTATCCTGCTCCAGGCTTTAACTCGCAGACGTGCACGCAAATACAGTTTTCTCCTCCTCTGTCTCACAAACACATACAGACACAACCTTCCCTATAAATACACATATTGTTGACTCTTGCTCCCATGGATGCCCTTAGAACTAATCTGTAACCTAATTTTCACCTATTTAGCTCACACACACACAATGCCCTCATTCACATGCATGACCCTCATTCATCTTACTCAGTTTTTTTTTTGAAACAACACACACTCACACCTCTGGTAGAGACACATTCATAACCACATCCAGGACCTGCCAAAAAGTATCACACATACTGTACATGTTTAAAACGCATGCACACAGATTGTCCCCAGGAGCTGTGTTGATTGAGTCATTCCTTCTCCTCTGTTATATCATCTCAGGCGTTGCCCTCGTTGGCTTTCACTGTCTCTTTAAAAAAAAAAGAAAAAAATAAATGCCTCTTGCTCTCTCATTGCACAGTTCTGTTCTTTGATTACTCCACTGTTGGTACGGATAAATCAGTCATGAGATTATCCTTGTCCACCTTATGACTGTTTAACATTGTTCCAATAGCAATGCAAGTATCAGGAGTGCTTGTGAAATCCCTTAAATTAGATCCCTGGTGTCGGCCATTGCGGCACAAATTACGCACCCCTCTGATATCATACTCTATTACACCACCTCTTAAAACTGGTCTGTTTCTTTTTCCCCAAACCAAAGTATTCAACAGCAATGATACAAATTATTGCTAACACTAGCAACAGCTGTTTTGAGTGATAAAAAGAAAGCGTTCACGTTTATTGCCAAGTTAGCACCACAAACAACAACAAGGTGCTGCTAATGGTAAGTTTGAGGTATCATTGCTGTTCCATCCTTCTTTTTTTTAAAAATATTTTTGTATCCATAGTAACGATTATTGAAAAAGCTGAAATAATGAAATGAAATAAATCGTTTTCATGATAAAAGTACAGGTGTTTTGTCAGACACAAGACATCAGGAAAGGGATGCAAAGAGTTCTGCTAACCTTAGCTTAGCTTTGTTTTTGAAGCTAGGATTCCTTCATTGTACTAAAGCAGGGCATAAAACAACCATAGCAATCATGTCACATCCATTCAGGGTCAGCAGTTTGCAGTTGTTTTAAGAAAGAAACAGTATGCCACTTGTATTGAATCCTTTATTTGCAAATGATCAAGTGTAGATATAAGATTCTGCAATTGGGGGAAAAAAGGACTGGTATCCAAACATCTCTTGGGGGGTGTAAATACCCAATTATTTGTACACGTTGCTATTGGTGGCGACTAGAAACACAATATGTTTTCTGTTATTATTGCTGCAGAAAGAATCCCCAAAATTAACCAATGACCTCTTTTGTTTTGTTCTTTGTTCGTTCATCTTTAGGTTTCTCCCAGTCTGCTGGGATGGGGGTCAACATCGAGGTTGGGGCTGCCCCTCTGTCAGGTGAGAGGACTCCAAGTAAAGCCGAACCCCAGCACCCCACACCCACAGCGGGGTCTGAAGCCCCTAAAGAGTACAGCCCCATGCTGCCTGAACCTCAGGCTCCCCGTAGCCCTCTGGACCTGTCAGCAGGTAAAACGCATGCAGATTCACTCAGTCATGTTATCAGGAAATGATGGAAGTGTTAACCTGCCCTTTTTCAATAAGGCTGTACTTAAACAGTCAGAATGAATGTATACATCTATAAACCTGGAATATGCCTAAGGCAGGTCAGCACATTTACTTGAACAAATAAGAGCATCTGTGCTTTTCTCAGGAGCAGCTCCGGTAGGTGGAAGACAGAGACTTACTTTTTTCTGTGTAGATCTATTCCCTTGGCCCATTTGAACTCAAATATATGTATTTTAGGCGTCTTGTATACTTACATGTAAAAGCACGAGGTGAGGACTACTGACCAAAGCCAAATACTAAATCAATACAATGCATATACATTTTCTAATTGTCAGATTTTTGAAGTCTTTTTTCATCTTACCTCATAAGTGTTTTATCATGTTTTGCACAAAACCTTCTGCAATTTGGTCTCAGATGATATGACCTCCTAGGTACGACTTTGAAGTTGTCTCATGTTGCTCTTTAAACTCATATACCGAAGGTCCAGATCCTGATCCAGAGCTTACACTTACTGCTAATTGCTGTTTGAACAAGTGGGACTCACTTCAATAGCATTGTTTGCTTGTAATATTCATAAAAGTCGGCGTTCTTTAGTTAAATGGGTCTAATTTCCACAAAGTTGTTGAATTGCAGATTCTAAAAACAGTCAAAATGACCTGGGTAGTTTGGGTGTTAAAACACTAGGTGTTCATCGTTTTGCCATCCATTCATCCTCACAAGAATAGTAAATCAAACTGATGACTGTAATAATGTAATATAGTGAGATATATATATATACACACACACAACACACACACACACACACACACACACACACACACACACACACACACACACACACACACACACACACACCAGCTCCTATGTTATTTAGTCATCCAACTCAAGGTCAATGCACATCTCATGCTGACATGTATAGGGTTTGCCATCATGTCATGGCTTCTAGTCATATATTGTGTGTGTGTGCCCCTCTCCTCCTCCCATAGGGTCTCTCTCATGTTCTATGTTCTTCAGATCATGGACAGCTTGGAGCTTTGGAGCTGAACTTGTCACCATGCTGTGACTTGTGCCAGCTAATAGGGCCATGCTAGCATTACATGTGGCCAGTGGAACGATGCACAAAGCAGCAGGGCAGCTGAGCCCCCCATGGTGCACTGCTACACAGCAGGTGGCAGAACTCCCTGTACCTCTGTGGTAGATGAGAGCAGGATGATACAGTTAAGAACAGTTTTTGCTAGATGTGTCAAATACACATCCTTTTAAGTTAAAGAGGCACAAAGTAACCATGAACCAGCACATGAATAACAGCTTGCAGTGCATTAGTACAAGGTACATTTTGATCACAAATGCCAAGTCATCAATCTCTGGGTTTATTTTTTAAACAAAAATACTATGCAGCTTTTTTGGCTGTTATTAAGAATCTGCCACTGGAAACCATGGCTTCTTCCCCATTTCAAATAAAAAGCCAACCATGCAGGAACTAGATCACCAATCAAACATTTTGTCTTAGTGAGTCTGACTCCCGGGTCAGAGTTTTATGGTCTGCCATGAACCGTCCTGAATGGAGACCTGAGCCTTTCCAGAGCTCTAGTTATGAACGGTCTTCCAGAAATGTCACTTTAAATGTCAGTATTTCTGCAAATACAGATGCTGCCAGATATCTGACTGGCACATTCCTTATTTGACATATTTTCACATGGAACTTTGAAGTTTTTGGACAGGAATATGACAAGTGTGGCAACACTTAAAGAAAAAGATTCAGAGCAGCAAAATGGATATTTGAAAGCCTGGTTTTATCTGCGTTAAAGGCAAACAAACATCCAGGCAAAAGAAAAGACTGTGAGGCAACACAGTTACCAATTCAGTTGTAAAGAACTTAACATGTTAATGCATTCATTATTGTTCAGATGGTCTAGTATTATCTTGAACCTGTTTACCAGTCAGTCATAAATAGATACGTCTGAAGTATGTAAGCCTGTCACTGCTACTCTTAAATTGTAAGACTGTATGCCATTCTGTAGGTGCTCCAGTTTGTGTGTGTGTGTGTGTGTTTGTGTGTGTTCATATTGTCTCTGGTACTGTATGTGTGTTAGGTACAAAGAAACACTCAATGACTCAACATTGCGGCAACCACACTCCCCCCCCCCCCCCCCCCTTTTTTTCTCTTGCTGTCACAAGATGTGGAGGGCTGATTTTTGAAAACCCAAAGGGACTCTGTTTTGACCGAGGAGGAGCAGAACAATAAGAACATATTTACCTTATAAACGTCTAAAATCATAAATCCCTTGCTGACCGAAACGCAGGTTAATTTTTTTCTAACCAGAAATGTTGTTTTTTTTTTTTTTTTAAATCCTTGAAGAGAGGAAAAGGACAACATCTAGTGACATGTAACCAGAAGTACAGCCAAAGCATCAGGCAAAAGTCTATACCAAACTTTAATAGTCTTTAACTTTTCATATTGACATTTTCTGATCAGACCTTTAGATAAACTTTATATTATCTTAGTCAAAGTGTATTTAATGTGTCAAGATATTTTTTCTTTTTAGCTTAAAGCCATGTTTTGGAGGTTTGTTTTTGTAAACAACAGTTATGTTTTTTTCCATTTTAAGTACATGTATTAGAGAAAATACACTATACCATTTTTTTTCCAACATTAATTTATGTTCCTAGTCTGTCTAAAAACCCGCCAATTATGACAAGAGTCCATCCTCTGCTCCACTTTTCAGAAAATGTGTACTTAAACAGGTCATTCGGAAATTTTCCCTTCATGACATCACAAAGGGCAGTAACCCCTCTCCCAGGTGGGTGACACTCCCACAGACATAGCTCATTTGCATATAAAGGTACAGGAAAGGAAATAGAGGGGTTCATAGGCATGATCAAATACAGGATCAGAGTGGAGTTATTAAAAGAAACTTCACAGACATGTTTTGGGGAGCTCTGAGACTTCTTTAAACTGGAGTATAATATGTGACTTTTAACTCTTTAAAACATTGTATTTATCTTCCCCTCTTTCTGCATTAAAACTGCACCTTGTATAGGACATGCATATTCCAAACTGAAGGTAGAGTCATTTGTTAAAAAATAGCTTAGAAGCAATAAATTATTCTCTTTTGGATTCCACAATAAAGTACCTTTAAAAGTGAAAGTAAAGATGGCTGTTTTTTAATGCGTCTTTAAAAGTGAAAGTAAAGATGGCTGTTTTTTAATGCGTCTTTGAACTAATGAGGTGGCAGGACACTACATTTAAGTCATCGGGATCCATTTGGTTGATTACTTTTTATGCCTTCCACATTTAATTTACATATAGAGAGCATTGATCTGTCACAGGTTTGATAATATGAAGTACAACACACTAGAGAGTAATTGTACTGGGCCTGAAAGCTGCTCCACTTCAGCTCTCTTTCTGTGAATGTGTGTGTGAGTGTGTATAGCTTAAAACAAGAAACAAACTGGGCCAAAGTAGAACAACCTTGTCTCAGTGGACATTTCCTCTATATTCTCATTACTTCTTATCTACCTGGGCTTTGTTATACAACATCCCAAGATACGCCGTTTTAGTTACAGCATGGTTGCCTGTAATTGACCTCCTTTCTATGGAACCATCTAGAAGTCTTTTTGTTTCTGTGTGCTCATGTGGAACACTGTAAATGCACTGCGTGACCTTATTTTTAGTCTGCAGACAAATGTAAACTCACACACTCCTTACTCTTACCCCCCTTTTTTTTTAAAGAGCTTTTGTGCAGTCTGATAGTTTCAGGCTAAGAATGAATCTTAGTGAGGCTGCAGTGACTCAGCAACCTCAAAAGCACCACACCTCTACATCATTTCATTCACTACCATCCTCCAGATTGTTTCTATGTGCTTTATGTGTTTGATTCACATTCCATCAAGCAATAATTACTCAGAAGCAATAATGCAACTTGGGATCAATTGTTACTGTCAGTGTTAACATTAAATTAAAAAAAAAAAAAGGATGACACATCATTGAAAGAGAAAAATAAGTCCCACTGTTCCCAAATAAGTCCCAAGGTATTGTGATTAAGGTTTCATGCATTCCAACCCACATCTTATTTAATTTCTTCAATTGCTTCTCTACTGCTTTGACTTTTCACCCTGAAACTCTATCAAACAATTTAATTGAATAGTTTGATGAATTCAGCTTTTTGAACTTCCGGTTTATATATATTATTTTGAATAATATTTGTTTATTTTCTGTTTGCACTTGACTTAAGGAACCAGTTCATATGCACATAATCATCTCCCCCAACTTAAAACTTTCCCCCTCTTCACCCATAATAAGGTGCATTAGGCGACTGCTGGCAAGACCAGGCTGACTGTCTGTCGACAGACCTTCCTTTCACTCCAAGCGTTACCACGGTGATCAGTCGCCATGCCAGCCAACTAGCAGTCAGCCCTGATGACCCACCTGACAGTTGGCCTACGCGAGAGAGCACAGCCTATGCCGGAGGGGATGAAAAAGAGGGAGAGGGCTCCGACCGAAAGCAGAACAAGAAGAAGAAAAAAAGGCGACAGAAAGATGAGGGGTCTTATGAGCACCTAGAGAGTAAAGGTCACCTTGAGGTGCAAGCAACTGGAGAAAACACAGAGGAGTTCTACAGCAGGATAGGCCCGAGGAGAGATAAAGGAGAGGCTGGATGGGAGGAGCAGCTTGGGAAGAGTGGAGGGAGGGGGAAGAAGGGTAAGAGCAGGAAGAAGATTCCACAGGAGTGGGGAGTGATGGCGGAACCGTTTGTCCCTGCATCAGCAGCCTCTCAAATCACAGAAGACGATATGATGGATTTAGGAAGTTCTGTGCAGTTGGAGTCCTCATTCACAGACATGGATAACAGCTCCAGCGCCTGGAAAAAGGAGGTTTTCCCAGAAGAAGGCCTAGTCCCTTCTCCTCTGTCCCATGACCTTTTCTCTTCAACTGCTTCTACCATCAATCCATTGGTCCTGAACAGCGAGCTGAAAGCCACAGCGCCTCCGTTCGCGATGCCGTCTACCACAACTGACAGTGTAACACTTGGCTCCCTCCCCATGGCTCCCCACCCAGATGATCCATTCAACCTCCTAATGGATACTGAAAATGCCAGCTTGGGTAACAGCAGCCAGGCCATTTTGCCAACTTTCTCTCAAGAGATTGACACAATGGCCGGTGACGTTGTTGACAGTGGGATATTTGACACTACCAGTTTCCTCCAAGAGTCTTGTGTGCAAGGGCTACCAGAGGGAGACACCTCAGCTTTCAGCCCGGCATCCCAACCAAGCCCAGGTTTTTCCCCAAAAGGTGAGGTGTTAGCCTCGGCCCCTCCTCTCTCACCATCAGATTCTTCTTGGGTCCTGAACAACTCCTCCATGAGCAGGGACAGCGAGCTATTTGACTTCAGTGAGGTCAACACTTCAAGTGATCCTGTTACCTTGGGGCTTTCCTTTGACACCCCAAGCCCAGCGCCTCTCCGCTCTCCTAAGACCACAGCGCAAGAGTCCAAAGCCAAAGAGCAGAAGGATGGGAAATCTTGCCAGAAACAATCCAAGAAGTCTCGTTCCTCATCCTCCTCCTCCTCTTTGAAGAGTCCCACCTCCCCAGGAGCTAAGAAGTTCCCTTCACCAGCATCCCCACTCATCAGTCCCTCTTCCCCTCCAGCTGCAAACGCCCTGGGAGTCCTACCCTCTGGCCTCAACCCTGCAGCTAAACCCTTCTTTCCAAGTTTTGCTGATTCCATGGACGAACCAGCCGTGGTCCCTCCAGTTGACCCTTTCATGGAAGGTTGGTTGTAGTAACTGCTGGACAAAGTAGAAGTAGAGTAGACAAATACATAGATGACAGATAGATAGACCCGTTTGTATTGTCCCTGCATGGAAACATTTGTCAAAAGACCTGTTTTCTGGCTGATCCAATCCGGACTACTTGTGAGTGACTAACGCATGGACTCAAGTGTTGATCAGCTGAGGCTGTGGATTGGCTTGACTTTAATCTCTTACTGTCTTCATTACCAGTGATGCACTGTTGGGACGTTCTCATAATTAACAGGGTTGCTG